GTAAAAGTATGGTAAAAAGTTATGCGTAGTGTGTAGACGGTGCTTTACGTAGGTAAATATTAAACAACTAAACATATTGAATGTAATTACCTATTCCCAGACTCGTTTGGATAAATAAGAATCGAAATTTGGGACCTTTGTTGCCACAGAGGGTAAAAATTATCGGCTGACACGCAATGATGTTATCGAGAACCGAAAGAAAACAATAATCAATTAAACGATCAAAGTTTTTTGTAGTGTAAATAAATCATCAAAAGAAACAAAGAAATATATATTTACTAGCTGACCCGCCTAATAATAGTGATGTGCACGAGGTGAGAGTTTTTTTGTCAATCTTGTAGCACGGATGTATAATTGAACATTTGAATAAGAAGACTAAGGAAGGAGCATAATGCTATCCATGTATTCATGCATGGTGGGCGGAAAAAGCCCTCTATGGTGGGGATCCTTGACAGTTCTGTTTGACGATTCATTTGACACGTTTGAATTTGATTTGAAATTTTGTGGATTTGTCAGTCTTTACGGAGCTTATTTTATGTTATTTATTATTTATTCTACTACTGATAGTTGTATAAAGGTGGCAAATCTAGATGGAAATTGTGGCAGAACTTAAATTAACAGTGACACTATCGCGATTTATCGAAAAAGACTCTAAAATAGTTGGTTGTGTAGCGTGCGGTAGATCTCGGTAAAAATTGAGTGAAATAATGGAACAACTTTTCGCTAGTAAGTGACTATATAATATACATACGTGTAGTAAACCGATCATTTATGAAATTCACTTAAATTAACTAAATTATGTATTTTTCTTGCATTTTAGCTTTTATTTATTACTTGTCAAAGATTAGATGTCAAAGAATTTAGATAAGTTAATTTGACTTATCTGCTTCAGTAGCGTATCGGATGTTTGTGTTAATAAATAATTATTATAACTTATCTATTTTTATTAGAATTTTATATTTTTATAACAATTTTAATAACTACCAACATTTATTCACAACGTAAAATAAAACAACAAATTATTGAGTCTACCCCACGTCTACCCTACATCATAGTTTGACATTTTTTAAATAAAATTAGAACGACACTGATAAACCGGAATTTAAGTCGGCCATATTTGAAGCCCATCGCGGTGTACCTAAGATTTTTGATATGCTCCTTCCTTAGTCTTCTTATTCAAAGAATTGAACGAATGATCTGGAATGATTATGACCGATCCGTTTGACAGTTGTTGTCATTTGTTCTCTAAACTTTTATTTAGGCTGTATTCCGTTGCAAAACCAGGCAAACCAGACCGGTAAACTACGGTAAAGAGCGGTTCCTGAAAAACATCGGTTTGATACTGAACGGTTTGGTAAAATACTGGAAACGTCAAATGTTGACGTTTTCTAAATTTGAATACCTCTATTATAAAATTTATCTTTTATGCATTTTTAATGTACCTATTCTCTGCTTTTACGTTTGCTTCTTCTTTTCAATGGAGTTTAATATTGAAAAGTACTTTATTAATAAAATGTTAAATTCTTTAGACAGCTCAAGTGAAGATTTGCAGGTCCAATATTAAAACAGATCAATAATAAATAAACAAATCTAATCAATATTTATATTTTTATAGCTTACAAAACATTCACGATTACTTGTCACGTTTCTTCAAATGTTCCTGACTTTAAGAAACAATGGCTGCATTATAAGTTTAAGTGGTCCTAAAAAGCCTTTCTATTTAGTTAATGAAATTGGGTCTTGTGCAGAACAGGTCCCCACGAAATCGTGTTTTTTTTAATTTTTAATGTGGATCCCATAGTTAATGGAATGGTTTAAAAGAAAAAAATTGTTGGATGAACCACTTTTTCTACGAAAAAAAATAATTGAAAATTCCAAATTTTCACTACATTTCAATGCGAAAACTCCCTATTATAACCTTCATAAAGACAGTAAAATACAAGGTTATGCACAGTGTTGCCATACTCACCCTGTGTAAAATCGACGAAAACGTTCTACTTTATATTCGTTTTTTTTACATTTAGTACGCACTTTAAGAACACGAAAAATTAAAAATATAATAAACGAGGCAAAACAAAAACACTATAAAAATAAATTGACAATAAAATCATTACACAGTATTTAGCACAATTGTTTAAAAATATATTTTTCCCGGATTTGTTCAGTAAGATTCCGAAATGGATGTGATCTGCGTACTTCCAAACACTCCCCACCAACCTAACCTAACCAATGCATTAACACCCCCAAATAACCAGGCTAACCAATGCATTAACACCCTCCAAATAACCAGACTAACCAATGCATTACCACCCTCCAAATAACCAGAATATCTAACCTAACCTAACCTAACCAATGCATTAACACCCCCAAATAACCAGGCTAACCATGCATTAACACCCTCCAAATCACCAGGCTAACCAATGCATTAACACCCTCCAAATAATCAGGCTAACCAATGCATTACCACCCTCCAAATAACCAGCCTATCTAACCTAACCTAACCAATGCATTAACACCCCCAAATAACCAGGCTAACCAATGCATTAACACCCTCCAAATAACCATGCTAACCAATGCATTACCACCCTCCAAATAACCAGGCTAACCAATGCATTAACACCCCCAAATAACCAGGCTAACCAATGCATTAACACCCTCCAAATAACCAGGCTAACCAATGCATTACCACCCTCCAAATAACCAGGCTAACCATTGCATTAACACCCTCCAAATAACCAGGCTAACCAATGCATTACCACCTTCCAAATAACCAGGCTAACCTAATTGAGCCTAATGACAAAACTTCATTGATTACGCGTCGAAAAACAGTATATATTAAAAAAACTTATATTTTCGTAGAACCTGAAAAATCCGCAAATTTTATTTCAGAAATTGCTTTAAAATAATCCACACTAACGAATAAGCTACTAGACAGTTCAATTTTTGTTGCACTAAAGTGATAACTTACCGTTTTAAGTCCCTCCACAACAACTTTATTTCAGAAGAAAATCATATAAAGTAATTTTATTGACAACGTCGCAAATTCTATGCGAAGGCCATAGATGACATACCGATGATCGATTAACTGTCAATCGAAAAAGTCATAAAATTGCTAGCTTGAGCTGATGTAAATAAATATATTTTCTTAAGTTTTATGCTTACAAAGAAGATTCGTTACGTTTTTGTGCTTAAATTAGATCATTCCACGTCTATATAAGGTAATAAAGTACTAATATGTGATGTTTTTACTGAATCCGTGTAGAAAATTTAACATATTTACTGTCCGTCGCCTGTACCTAAAATACGTTTTTTTGCCGCTTTTTAAAGATAAAACACATTCATCCAACAATTTTTATGCTTGAAAATATTCAGTTTAAGATAATCTTGCAAAAAAATCCCAAAAAAGTGTTAAATGCGTGGGGACCTATTGTGCACCAGAGCCAATGAAATTTATTTACCTTTACTGCCTACCTCCATTGCTTTTGGATGTAAATATAAAATATTGTTACAAATTTTAGAAATTAAATGAGAATTTCACTCGAACTTCCAATATTTGCTTGATTTCTGTCACATAAATGACATTGATTGACAAACAAAACCAGAAAAACCAGCCTTCTCGCGCTGGTTAGTTTGGTGACAGTTATAACCGAATTTTTTAGGAACTGTGTTCCGTAATAAGAAAACTTTCAGGAAACCGATAGAAACGGAACATAAGACCATAACCAAGGTAAGAAACGGAATATACCCTTACATTTCAATTCGGTATTTTCTCTACAGGGTGTCAAAAAATAGTGATTCTAACTTAAGCAAAAAAGTGCTCTTCGTTTAGTTCGAAACAGTCAACGGTTTTCAAGATATCTGCGTTTAAAGTTTCCTATGCATCGATTTTAGCATTAGCGAAATCAGGAGATAATTTATTTAAAATTTCTTTACATTTTATCATTTCACTAATACTAAAATCGATACATCGTAATCTTTAAAAGCAATTATCTTGAAAACCGTTTACCTCTCCAAACAAAATAAAGTGCACCTTTTTTACGTAAAAAAGTCCTAGCGTTTTATTTCAGTTTTTGAAATTACTGTATCTACATTGTAATATGACTCCTACTTGTAGGGGGCGCCACCTACATATTTTTAACTGGTTTGAAGAATAAATTTTCGTCCGTACCTGTATAAATCTACTGAGTGAAAAAATACGATGTTTTTACGACATTTTTTACGTAAAAAAGATCTCTTGGTAAAAATCACTACGAGTAAAGCTTAATTTTCATGCATCCGTTGTCCGACGATACGATGATACGATATTAATTTTATTGATTGAATTTTAAGACTTCAAATAACTATCTACTCAACATGTTTATTTTTTGTCAATAATGACATGTATTGACTATTTCCATTCTAAATATCTCGAGAACGGTTGTTCGTAGCCATTTTTACCAAGAGAGATTTTTTGCGTAAAAAACCACGGAAATGTATACTTTTTCACCCTGTAGTTTTATACAGGTACGGACGAAAAGTTAATACTCTTAAAAACAGTTAAAACACATGTAGGTGGCGCCTCTTACAAATAGAAGTCATCAAAATCAAATTTGTCATGTCAAAAAACTCCCAGACACCAATTTTCATCTAAATATTGACGTTATTTCATAAATTATTTGGAAAAAGTCGAAATAAAAATGAAACTTCTACACCCTGTATCTCCGAAACTAAGCATTTTAGGACATACGTTTATACGAAATTTTTTACTTATTTTTATCTGCAGAATATGCTTCCGTAGTTTCCGGAATACAGTTCGGACCACCCTGTATATTATTTTTAATTGCCCTTTCAGCGGCTGTAACTTCTTCGGGAAGCATGTTAGGGCATGTGTTCTTAGGAAATTTTTGTGTTATTTTTATCTGTAGAATCACCCTCCAAAGTTAAATACACTATTTTTTGACACCTTGTATAAATATATTATTTGATAGTTCCCGAATAAATACAAACAATTTGTTCATTACCTGTTAGTTTTTTGCAGCAGCCTATTCTTAAAACTATTATACGCAGACCCGGGTCCATCCTCCTTCACCACGTACTTAATTTTCCCGTGTGAAGGCACCAAGTGTCTCTTGGACAGTCCCAAGTCCATCTGGATGTCCATCACCAACATGAACGTGAACAACACCGCCACTATGCTCACACATATCACCAAGCGCTCCTTCAGTCTTAAACTGAACCGATACATGTTCGATCTGTCTTTTGGTTCACTAGAATCACTAGACGGCACTAAATCGTTTGGAGGTTTTGGAGGTACAGTCTCAGTAATAACCCGTTCCGGAGATGGACTGTACTTGGTTTTGGCACGACGTTCTACCTCTTTAGGCTTCTGATATACTATGATCTCGTTTTTGTTTACATCGTAGTTTGGGACAGGTCGTCTCAGCACTAATTCACTACTCGAAGTGGTTAGACTGCCTGTATTATCAGTATTGTAAGGAGATAAGATTTTATTCTTATCAATCTCATTCGAATTTAGACTAGACTCGTTGTTCTTTTTCTGTTTCGTGTATTTTGAGAGTACCTTACTGGTTTTATTGTCTAACTTCTTCAGAAATTTGTTCACCGAGAACTTTGGGTCTTCGTGAACGTCTGGGGATGACTTACAGTTATCTCTTTTCGCCAAAATGTTATCTTCAACTTTATGACAGTCCACTGATTTTGATTTCCAAAAAGGTTTATTTTTTCGGGCTAAAACAGGACTGTAGTGCTCGTGAATGTATCCTTCTGGATACTCAAGGCAGTCTTCGTCTGGACTTTGATAGGTGTGACTTTTCGAGTATCTTCTGGCTAAAATGATGGACTTTTCTGGTCTTATCTCTAAGCATCGATAGGATTGACTTTCTGTGTTGTCGTCGGCTGAGACGAAGTGGGGTTGTTGTCGGAGTTGGAGAATTTGAGCTGCGAATTGTGGACATTGCAGCTGGGTTTTGATCGTTCGGGACTCCAGCTTATTTTGGATGTGGGTCTATGTAACGGATCTTCACCTGGAAAGAGATAAAAAATAACGTCAGAAAAAAATAAAATAATTTAAAATAAAAAGAAAAAAAAAATGTTAAAAATTAAATGTTCGAATTAAAGAACATAAAGATTCTTTAAGAAAGGGCTCCGATGGTGGCAGCACCAAGCCTAGGTATACAGAGTGTCTTAAAACTGAATGTATTGACCTTAATTTATTTATTTTTATATACATAGATGATACTAGCATGTACCCGCGACTTCGTTCGCGTCGAATTAATCATTTGTAATGGTGATGATAAAGCAAAGCAAGAATTTCCATTAACATACAAACTGGATAAAATTTTCTCACATTTATGTCAGCATGAGAAAAAAAATATGGCGATATTATTATATAACTTGGTAATATTTGAGGGGTAGTTTCATCTCGTTGGAATTTGCCTTTCGAAAAATCCGTTCGTCAAAAATAAGCTTTTTACGTCAAGCAGTTTAGCAGAATCGTGGTTAATCAATTATCCAACTTTTTAGAACACCCTGTATGATTTTTTAAAAAATTTCAAAATATGCAAAAAAAATGAATTTTTCACCATCAGTTTTCACCCTCTTGGAATTTGAGATTCGAGAAACCCCTCCTTATCGAACCTCTACACACCACAGTCAATCTGTTTGCCAAAAATCAGCTTTAAAAGTCAAACAGTTTAAGCAGAATCGTGATTACTCAATGGTCGTATTTTATGAAACATTCTGTATAAATTTTTAAAAAATCTTAAAATATGTAAAACAACAAAGTAAAATTAACGTGTTTAAGAGTTTTTCCGAAAAACTCACCGGTTTTTAAATAAAAAATATTCTAATATTTGAGGGGTGGTTTCACCCCCTTAAAATTCGAGTTTCAAAAAACCCCTTTTTATCGAACCTCTACACCCTAAAGTCAACCCGTTTTCCAAAAATCAGCTTTTTACGTCAAGCGCTTTAAGCAGGATCGTGATTAATCAATGACCAGATTTTTCGAAACACCCCGTATACATTTTTAAAAAATCTGAAAATATGTAAAAAACAAAATAAAATATACGTGTTTAAGCGTTTTTTTGGAAACTTGACCGTTTTTTGAATAAAAAATATTGTAATATTTGAGGGGTGGTTTCACCCCCTTGGAACTGGAATTTCGAAAAATTCCTTCTTATCGAACCTCTACACTCTAGAATCAACCTGTATGCCAAAATTGAGCTTCATACGTTGAGTGGTTTGAGCAGGATCGTGATTATTCAGTGAGTCAGTCACTTAAGGATTTTATATATTAGTATAGATTTCTATACAAGATGATAATACTTATATTAAAACAAATAATATATATTATTATAATTTTATCTGTTATCAACAAAACAATCTCACCTAATCACTTATAAAACCATATATTTAAATACTGCCTGCTTAAATTAAACAAAAATTATTAAGTATTACTTTTATAAACAAATATAGGTCCGTATATACTTTCCATTGCGCAATTTGGCAAACCAAAAAGAGTATTAATTGCTATTATAATTAAGTTGTATAAGCCGCAATAATTATCTCTGTTTTCGGATGGCAAACAATATAATGCAGCCTTCTCAGCAGTTCCAAAGTACAAATAAATTGTTTGCCAGAGTTCGGTAAGTTATTATTTGTATCTTCGATAAATTTGAATACTTGGAAATTTGGTTTCAGACTCTTAAATTTCTAACTTTTTGAATACAAAAAGGTTTTAGGTTTTAGGTATAAAATCGGCATATAAAGACTGTTTAGCGATCGTTCAACGTTACGTCATCGTTATTTGTCAAGGCTACGGTCTGACACACAATTTTTTTTAGAAAATGAAGTTTATGTTACCTTAAAATGAACTTCTTGGATTCTTTGACTAAAATCTGATGCGGAAAAACACGTTTCACATAAAAAATATTCTTAAAAATGTTGTTATTTGATTTTTATATCATGCTCATGCTTGTCAGATGAGCTAGTAAATTATCCGGAATTTCATGCATCTTTTTTGTTTAGGGAAAAAAATGACGTCATAGGTTTTAAAATGTTTTTTTTTAATACGAATTAGATTACTTTAGTTTATCAAATTGGCCAAATTACCGTGCCGCCGAGACAATTGCTATAGTTATAGCTCTAGCAATGAAAACTCGCTGTAAGCTGGAAGCCACCAAAGCAAAGAAAACACGCTGTAAGCAGAACAAACTCTGTAAGAGAAAAAACTCAGCAATTTTTGAAAATTTTAAAACCTTTTTGATGGCATCTCGGTGAACATACTAAAGCGCAACTTTGCTCCAATTTAATCATGTTCGTATCTATTACGGTTACCGAGATACTAATGCTCGTACCCCGAATTTGTAGCACCCTGTATATTCGGGATATATCTTTGATGAGGCTCTACATAATAGGGGCATTGGCATAAAAATAAATAAAACCCGTGGTAATAATTATCCAATAGCTCTATCTATCTTTTGTAAAATTATATTATTTTGTGAAAATATGGAAAAATAATACATTTTTAAGGCCTGCTCTGCTAGTAAATAATTTTCAGCTTAAACTATCACAAGACAATTCTCTCTCTCTTAAACCAAAACTTCGTCATATAAATCCAACCTGGCAAATCTTCGCCGAGGAATCAGAATGTTAGAAAATAAATATGGTAACTAGGTATTTTTTACAGCAGAGCTACCACCTTAATCGCCAGCGGGAAATTTAAATTCCAGCTAGCCAGCCTGGCGTCGAATATGTCCATGGATGGCTACAATAAATTTAATAATCGCGTCCTCGATGACGTAACTAAAAGTTCATTTGGTTATAATCTTATATAATAATAATAAACACCTAAACCGTTAAGTTAGAATTTAGAATTTTAGAATTCTAATTCTAAAATTCTAACCGTTAAGTTACGTGAAGGAATTTAAGAACAAGTGAAATAAAAATCAACTAGTGTATTTTCTTCGATGAGAATGAGACCGTGAAATATTTTTGCACGAATTCAAATTAAAATGTGCATTCTTCATAGTCTGTTAAGTACAAGGACGACTGGACTTAACAATTTGAACTGATTGCCTGTTATTAGTGCAGTATTTTTTTCTATTTCCTGTTTTTGTTTAACAAATTGACCAATAATTAAGTATACAAAATTGGTAAACACAAATTAATATCTAGGAAAGAAAAAAATTTTTTTTTTATATAATTAATATATGTAATTACCTATTTTAATTTTCTAACAAATATACGTAGTGACCCAAAGTATCGAAAAGGCTCTCTTTGAAGTTTGATATTTTTTTGAACGTTTTTTCGAATGTAGGCATTTTCATATGTTAGTAACGTATAGCTATGGCTTCTTTGATCTTTCAAATACCGCATAACATTAAATCTTAGGAAACATATTTTCTATAGGTACACACATTTTAAGTTTTTTGTTAGTACCTCATTGGGTAACTGTCATTAACTATTAATTCAATGATAATGTCAGTTTAACCAGAACATACAACAGGTTTTAATATCTTTTAATAGATGCTAAAAAATAATGATGAACCGCATCATACTCACTAGTGATGGGCATAACGATTCTTTTAGTGAATCGTAATTGTAATTTCTCATATTGAATCGACTCCTACGATTTGTTCGGTCCAGGTTAGGTTTCATAAAAACAAGAATCGTAACAGGCACTACCGGCGATAATTTGGTCGGACGATTACTTAAAGAGCCAGAAAAAGAAATATACAGTCCTTTCCTTTGTTTTTCAATACTTTATGGCACTGGCGTAATTGGATTGATTATTTTACCAATAATATTAAATTATCAATCCAATTCATATATACTATTTATTAAAGACTTCTTAATACCAATAATTGATATTTTTAGTATATTTTAATTCCGATATAATAATCAAATAATAAATAGTTTATAATACCGTATAATCGAAAAAAATGGCGTCCAATTGGCTTGGATATGAACATCGATGATATTCCCCAAATAATTGTAAAATGACAGCAATCTTTATTTCATAACCACCGCTAACGACGTTTTTTTTATCATATTGAGCAGAGGCCAATAATATTTTTATTTGGAATTGCATAAAAATACGATTTCGTCTTTTAGTCCGATATTTAATGGTTTATACCCAAGTAGCATTTGGACGTTATCTAACGTCGGGTATACGTCGCGTTCAATAAACCCGACGTCGGGTACCAACGTCGGTTCGACCGCCTGACTACCCTTATTTGCACCTAAATGGGGAATACAGATTCGGGTCGCCTCGACGTCGGTATCTGACCTAATAGGGAATGTAATTCTACCAATTACCAACGTCATATTACGTTGGATTTTAGTCACTTAAAATTCGTCGCTAAGCACTTACGTTACGTTTGGTTTCATATTCGCTACCAAGAATACATAAAAACCTAACCAAACTACCTAATTACAAATGGATTCATAATCACTCCTCGAATATAACTATAAGTGCCTATCTAATTTCATATTATAATAATTCTGAATAATTAATCCAGACATCAGTGTTGTCAACGGAAGTCACTTTCTTGATATATCTGATTAAAATACTCCGGAAAACAACGAGCGCCTTCAAAATTAGGTAGATTTATGAAATAAAAATATCTATAAAAAGTAATTCGCAAAATATTTTTTTAATTTTCTAGCTGGTTTAATCATAAAACTGTACTGTGGTTCCCCCCAAATTCTTATCTAGAAATCGAAATGTGAATATAAATTTTAAAAACAAAAAACGATTTTAAAATGGCTGATAATCGGATACGCCTGTTATGAATGGCGGATTTCTGTGTCCGACTTAATATGAACTACCAATATACCAATTCCAACCGGGTCTCCAACATTAGTCGTCTCACACGACTGAAGTCATCAAACCGGACGACCGGCAATCGTATTATGACGTATATAATTCCAACGTACGCCACGTAACCTCACTTTGCATTTTGCGTATCAGTGATTTGTGGATTTGTGCAACTATATTTTAGTTTTTGTTTTCTCGTTAAAA